TAATCCCAGTGATAGAGAACTTTTGGGAGAGAGTTGAAGCGTGCCTGGCGTGAGCGTCTTCAGTGCTGGTGATTCGCCTCGCTCGTCGTGAGCCGCTAGTGTTTGGGGAGGGGGAGAGGGACGGTGATTTCCCTACCTTTCCGTCATTGCTGCTCTCTCTCTCTCTCTCTCTCTCTCTCTCTCTCTCTCTCTCTCTCCCTCTCTCTCTCTCTCTCTCTCTCTCTGTGTGCCTCTGTCTCAAACTTACCTGTATGGCAGCACTTTTTTCTAGAACCGGCCACCATCACCCCCTTTCCGCCCCCTATTTCCCCTCTTTTTCTTTCTCTTATTTTCTCCTCTCTCTCCCCTGTCTCTCCCTCTCTCTCTCTGTGTCTCTCTCCGTGTCTCTCTTTCTATTTCTCTCTCTCTCTCTCTCTCTCCGTTTGTATGAGCTTGATCAGTAGCGCCCGTGGATCGGGTGGAGGAAGGAGCTGTTAGATGCTTGCTCTTGCTCACCGAGGTTAGGATGTACCTTCTACTCGTGTTATCTCAGGCCTTACCTTCTCCTATACTCGCCGCTGCCTGTGTGACTTTTGTGTGTGTGTGTGTGTGTGTGTATAGTGTACCGAAAGACTGATACAAGTATTCTCGAAACTCAGACGTTTTGGCCCCTATATGTGTTACTTCATATAAACTGCGTATTTTTACTTAAATCGCATTTTGGATAATATGATGATTAATACCAGTAATTTTTCGTGCCAACATCTGGTTTGATATGTGGATATTTCTGGATTTTATTTGAAACTGTGCGAGGCATTTTAGCCTCAAAATGTGCCAAAATACTTGTTTTTTTTAATAAAAGGATTAGGGTACTGGATATACTAACTAGATGGTTGATAAATGGAGAAACATTTCGATATCGCATTCGGGGCCACAATGATAAATACATATATATATATATACATGTATCATTTTGTGCACGTGCATTCTAGAGGTGTTCTTTCTTTATTTGAACCGTGTAGTGATGCTACTGCCGTAAAGTGACGCGAGTTGAGATCATCTTCTTTCGCCTTCTCGGGGTCTTACCATCTTATGTATCGTGTGCCTAGACCGTTTATCTTGATTACTGGAGTCTCTGGTGTAATGGACGGACTCTTATCTGTTGCGCTGGGAAGACATGAGTTCTATTCTCGAGTTGTGAAGTTGTTCTATCGAATTCTTCCGTCTGTCTGCTCGGATGGTGTTATCCCATTCAGCCTGGGTTGAGATTAGTACTAACCGGCAGCTCGAAGCCGACGGCCTCCTGATTGATTTGAATTTGAAGTGTGGAGATGTGGGTAAGACAGACAGACTGACTGACTGACAGACAGATAAAAAGACAGACAGACAGACAGAGACACAGA